TAAATTTGCCATGCCACGCTCTCTAAAGATGCAAGCTGTGCATTAATTTTTTTCATGACACATTTATACTTTGTTTTCCCCCCCCAAATTTCATTTTATGCTCCAAATAAAAGACTGCTGAATCTTCTGAGAAAAAGGAAAAAAATAAAAGGGAAGAATCATCTTTGTGCAATGAGTTGATTCCAAAAATGTAGGAAAATGGTAAAGAGACTTGATCGCAAAGATTCTGTGTGCCACAGTGGATGTTATAAGGAGACAGCTCTTCATAAAGAGCTAATATCTCCTCTACATTATTTTCCCTTTCATATAGAAATGACTGTAGTTTCCCGTCACACAAGGGCTGGGCTGTCTTTCTTCCATCAAATGCTCTGCTAGCTGACAGAGACCATGGAGCTGTGAAAATAGAAATGGGAGGGGAAAGGCTGGTAAAGGAGTTACTTAATTCAACATGATCTTAATCTACGAATGTAAGTATTAAGAGCTGATACTGTCCCACAGAAAAAAGCTAATATCTAGAATGGGACTAACATGTTTGAATTTCTACTGTTCCAATTTTCTTGAAAGCCAAAATATCTTCAGACAGGGAAATGCTAGACTTCAAAATGTCATTATGAATCTCCACTAGATCTTCACCAACAGTTGTGTTGGTAGAGATAGCCAAGATAAATAAAAATCAGGCCTTCTGTAATTTACAGGTGGCTTGTGCTTCCTTCTGCTGTCCTACAGTGAAGGCCAAAAAAGAGAAAAAGAAAAAAATTTCTTTTATTATTATAGCATAAAAATCCTAATGACCTAAGGGAAGCTCACGTCCAGGTACTTCAAAGCAAATCTGTGAAGATGGTGATTGGGGAGCAGGGACACACACATAGCTGTTTAGAATTATAGGCTATGTATCTAGTGCCTTTGGTGAAAATTTAAGCTATGAAAAATTATGTAGTACAAGAGTGAGAGACTTAAGCTTGTTGGGATACCTGAGGACCACTTTCTACACTGACCGAATAGAAGGCCATAGGCCCCTGAAAACCAAAAGTACTGCTCAGAAATTGCTTAGGGATCTGCATGAGAGCCGGTCCCCTTCCACCAGAGCCAGGGATGCTATATCAAAGCACCTGCAGCAGCAGAGCTGGAAAAGACAACATAGAGACAAGAATCTGTACCTCCAACTCCCACATTCTGCCTTCCAGTGACAACCCCAGAACTGTGGAGCAGCCGTGACGTGTTACAGCTATAAGGACAACACAGGGCAGCAGCGCACACGGATGGCATTAGCGCCGAACACAGTTGTGCACACAGACTTAAAAGCCAATTCCAGAGAGTCTGGCAGTGATGAGCAGCCATGCTGCTTGCTTCAGAGGTGACAACATGAGAACCAGGGGTACAAGCGCCACACACTTCGAATCTCAGACATTCTATTAGAAATGATACAGTTAATCAGGCACAGATTATTTAGTGATTTTAATAATCTCTCGAGATATTTTCCACGGATGCTTATTGGTGTCCTGTGATAAACACAGAGAGAATCGAATAAGTCACCCTAAAACTAGTGGGCTTTACTGAGAAAACACATAGGTCCTTTCCTGCCACTGGTTGAAAGGCCCTGTCATGACTGCTCTTCAACAATGTCTCTCTGCAGAGTGACTAAGTGTGGCCCATCGAGTTGTTAAGTCGAGCTGTATGTATGTTCTCTGTGTCTGCCAGGCCCCAGACTCAAGATTTCATGAAAAAGATTTGACGTTTTAATTTCAACAAAAGTTTTCATTTCAGTGTCTTTCTCTTAACAGTTCAAAATGAGAAGCAGCCAGAGTTGAAAAGTTCCTCATTATCCTTTCATTCATTAATTTGTACATGTCCAGCTTTAAAACATAGTCACTTTTCAGGTCCATAAAAACTGCATTGGTCTGTTCAGATTTCTGGAAGAGAAAGATGCGGTCCACAGCCCAGCTGAAAGAGGGAAGTTGCCACTGCATCAAGGAGCGTCCAAGGACTGCACTAGAAAGAAGGCGCGGTTGGCACTGCAGCTCCTAACCCTCCAGTCAGGGAGAAACCAGCTGACCAATGGGTGCTGGAAAACAACTGAGCTTACAGGGGCTGTAAACAACCACCCCAGCTTACTGCCTCGTTCCAGAGAGGAAGGAGCTTGGCCTGGGAAGAACACCTTGCCAGTTGGTAGCAAACACAAGATCAGAGCCTCATTCCCCATATATACTAACATTAGTAATTCTGACTCTTACAGTAAAAGAAAAGAACTTTGAAAATGTAACAGGACTGATGATCACTAATAAGCTAAGTTTTCAAACTAGCTAAAACACTACACTATATAATAGTTCACTGTGTCTTAGCTACTGAGTTCTTGGTAGTAAGTGCAAACTGCATTTGCCCTCCTACTAGCCTAACTAGATTCCTCTGAGCGCTCATATTTGCAAAATGAGAACTTAAATCCATTAATCCCATGTTACAATCAAGGTACTTTGCAGAGGCTCTTACCTTCTTCTCTTGCTTATATCGCTACTTAGAAGAGCTCGTCAGAGAATTCCTGCAAGTTCTTTGGTTGTGTCTAAACCAAGAGTGACTTCTGAGTTCTCATTAAATGACTGTCAAAGTCAAATGGAGCCCTGGCTGGTGTAGCTCAGTGAATTGAGCGCGGGCCTGTGAACCAAGGGATCAAGGTTTGATTCCCAGTCAGGGCACATGCCTGGGTTGCAGGCCAATTCCTAGCAGGGGACCCACGAGAGGCAACCGTACATTGATATTTCTCTCTCTCTCTCTTTCCCTTCCCCTCTAAAGATAAATAAATAAAATCTTTAAAAAAATCAAAAAATAAAAAGTCAAATGGAGTTTCAGTCAAGAACCCATTCAGTGAAGATGGAAACATTATGTCACTTCAGGACCTTTTGAGGGCATGAGTTGGTCTCAGGTCTTGATCATGTGGTAGGTTCAGGAAGTGGCTGAGCAATCACTGGGTAATAACTTGCAAATAGTCAACTCTTCAGACAGGGCAGTGTGCCAGAAAAGCATAGAATCAGACAGGAAAGCACCTCCAGCATTGTCTGAAGTCCTGCCCAATGCAATGATAGGCAAGGAACACACTGAAGCCTACAGGGTTTTAGTAATAATATGCCATGTTCTGGATTGGTGGCAATTCTAAGATATGAATAGTTTTGTGATAAGGGATTAAAATGCTAGAGGGAGGTAGGTTTGCAAATCACTGGAAAATCAAAAGAGAAACATCATGTTAAAAAAGTAACCCTAGTTTGAAGATGTAGGATATAGCCTATGGAGCCCTAAATTGTCAAGGTGCGCACAGAGATTTTCTACGACATTAGGGTTCACGTGGTATAACCAGGCCTGTACTGTAGAACCTCTGTCAGAAATGCAGCATCTCGTACGTTAGCACAAACTCAAGACTTGTCTTTTACCATTTATCTTTAAAATAATGTATGATGAAGGAACACAAGTTATGATTTGGTTCCTCTACCAAAAACAATACAAAAGCAAGATAAATGGACAAATAAAGCAAACACAAAAGAATACCCGAATGACCTCAGGAACATTTCAACAAGGAAACATATTCTGTTCTCCTTCACCCTTAACTTAGAATTCACGTGCTGCAGTGGCCAGAGGGCACCGGTGTGATTGTGACATAACAGTTTTGATTTTCAAGAGCGAGCTGTGGAGGCAGCTACACATCTTACCTTAACATTCCACGAGAGGCTCCTTTATAGAAAAGTCATGAACAAAAAAATGAGGAATTGACTGAAGAAAATTTGGCAAGAGAATCAACAGAACTCTAAAAAATCTATTTTTTCCATTGTCATGGAATTCATAATATTCCAGACCGAAAGGCTCAGAATCTAGCCAATGAACAACCATCCCGATCCTGGAAAACATGTAAAAAGGGCAAACTATACAATCAGCATTCAGACCTATTAAATTTGGTTTACAAATGCTACATTTGAGAGACACCTGAAAATTCAAAATAATTTCCTAATCTCCAAGAATCTCAAATGTAAGAACATTTATTCCTGAATGGGGATATATAACAGTGTATTAGTTAAAGCTTAAAATAATTATTTATAATCTTGTTTGTAAAGAATTTAAATTTTAAATAATAATTAACTTTAAGATCCCTTTAGGAATACCTCCTTCTGAAATTTCACTGTTAAGGGAGCTTTCTGGGGCCACAGACTGGGTGACTTCCTTCCTTTAAGAACTAGGGTGGCTCAGTGGGTGGGTCACCATCCCGCAAAGCAAAAGGTGGCTGGCTTGATTCCTGGTCAGGGCATGTGCCTGGGTTGCAGGTTTGGTCCCCAGGCAGGGTATGTATAGGAGACAACCAATCGACGTTTCTCTCTCACATCGATGTTTCTTTCCCTCCCTCCCTCCCTTCTCCTCTCTTTAAAAAATAAATAAAAGAAAAAAATAAAAGAACAGAAAGTAAAGCCACATATTAGCCAGGTATGTGTTTTCCATGTTTATCCTTTCAACAAAGTGGGTCATTTCCAGGGCTTCCTAGGGCAGCCTACAGATACTGCCAATGAAGAAGCATGCCCCTGGGCCAGGAGGAGCGAGCCCTTTACCTGGTGCTGACTCCCTCATGGCATGAGAGTGATGTGTGAGAGGCACTACTGCTGCCTGCTGATGTGAGTGCTTCTCTGCACTCACAGGCACTGAGGTTTAAGGAGCATCGCAGACAAGACTTTGATTCTTTCAACCCAGGAGATACTTGGCTAGAGTGTTTGTACATATGTAAATGAAGTTTTCCTATCACCTTAGTTAAGCCAGTGCATGGCAGTGACCAGCACTGGATGGAACATTTCTACTGTGCAGTGGCAATAGTGGTGGAGTGAGCTGAGAAAAGAGAAAAACTTCAGCACAGAGATACATAAAAGCACCACGGGAGGCCATGCATGGCGATTAAGTGAGAAGCCAAGCACTCCGTGGGAAGCCTTAGACTCACAAAGGCACAAAGGCACAAAGGCGCAGCTCCCCTTGTGACCAACCTGCTGTGGCCCTGCATGTCCCCCAGCTCCTTCTGCAGCTTAGCATTCTTCTCCTCTTCCTCCAACAGCCTCCTCTTCACAGCGCGCAGCTCCTGTTGGGCCTCACACTTGATGTCATTGGCTACCACCACTGCAGTCTGCAGGTCTGCCTGGAACCGCCTCCACTCCTCAGTTTCCTCCTGAAAATGCCAGAGTCCATGTCAGCATCATATGCCCAGCTGCCACGGCTGGCCCCCCTGCCAGGGGTTACAGAGACCCTGTGCCCAACACTGAATGATGCTGGCTGGGCTGTCCTCAGTGAGGCACTGCTCTGATGGTAAACCACTACTGAGAAAAGGCACAGGAGGGAAGCTCACTTTGGGTTATCAAAGTTCTCCATCCTGAATCTGAACAGCTGCTTTAATTTTACTTCCTGCCAACACTAATTTTGACCCATGTCATGGAAATGTACTACGAGGAAAACAGGCTAGAGAGAGTATTCAAGGTATTTTTCAAAGCTTTTCAAACTAAAAGAGGAATATTTCTAGTAAAATGCTGGAGAACGTCCCCATCCCCTGCTGTAACTGCATCTCACCTTTATCTGCTTAGTCAGAGCCTTCAGCTGCCTTTCCAGGTCTGCTTTCTGTTCCTCCAACTTCATCACATTGCCTAGAAATAAAGAAGTCAGACAGAGCTGGAAGAGTTGGGAAACTCTTGGGAGAATATAAGCCAGGTGGCAAAGGAGCAGCTCTGGATTTGGCCCCAGACTTTAAAATCCATCTATTCTAGCATAAATTCCATTCTTAGCACCCTGCAAGCCTGGGACCAGAAGCAGGAGGTTCTTCTAAAGTAGAAAATGGGAATAGAAAACAAGTGGTATTTCAGTCTGTCCTACCTTTGAAGGACAGGCTGTATAACCATGCAGCACTATGGGAAGAGACCTAAATAACTACTCACACTTATCACACTTACTTTAGACCTCCCTGATGTTTGTACCCATCATACTGAATGTCCTTTTATTGCTGTGAGGCTTTTGTGTAATAGAGGATATGACTAGTTATTAGTATGGTGGCTTTCAGACCCATTTCTAGAGTTGAAGTTCTTAATAGCATTTTAACCTCAGAATCACATGGGAAGCTTTTCAAAAGCACAGATGTTCAAGCCCAGACTCTGACCCTTGGAATGAGAATCTCCAAGGGCAGATGGAATACGGGTGTATGTACTTTAACAGCTCCCTACTTAAGAACATCTTTAGTTCTTTCCTCTCTGTGCCTCTAATTTTCACCATGTTGCTATCAGAGTCATTTCAAGGTAAATCTGATCATGCCCCCAACCTAGTTAAAATTCTTCAGCGTTCCTTCATGATCTACTTCAGAGCAATTATTATCGGCATGAACCGGAATGATCAGAGAAGTTTCAGGAAAAAACCCACAGGGTCAGGTCCTACACCAGCAGCTCTAACTCAGCATGCAGGGCCTGAGAATTTGCATTTGGGGTCAATCTGCATAATGAGAAGATGCTCCTTAACCTTAAAATATTTTTAAAAACATTTTATTCATTTATCTTTAAAGGGGAAGGGAAGGAGAGAGGGAGAGAAATATCAATGTGTGGTTGCCTCTCCTGTGTCCCCCGCTGGGAACTGCCCTGCAACCCAGCCATGTTCCCTGACTGGGAATTGAACCTCGATCCCTTAGTTAGCAGGCCAGCACTCAATCCACTGAGCTACACCAGCTAGGGCACTCCTTAACTTTTTTTATTTTATTTTTCTGTCCCTTTCTTTCAAGGATTTTATGGGGAGGAGTAATTATCCTTGGCTGGATTTGTGTGTCCCTGGGCCTCCTAGTTAAGAGACATCTTAATAATACCTTTCTATCCCTGACAGAAGTTAAGTTTTTCTTACTAGATGCACAGTCTGTATTATTTTCAATCCTGCATATGTTATGATACAAATGCAGGGAGTTGGCCTGACATCTGTTCTGGACATTAATTATAAGCTTCCTTCTTGGTGTGTCTGTGCTGACTTTTAAGGATTTGGAGACAAAACAATCAAATTCTCAATAGCACTATATCATTAAAAGAAAAAGAAAGCAAAACATGACTTCTCTTCTTTGACTTGATACTTTTCAAGTGTGGTGCTGTGTTTATAAACACACACTGACCACTGGCAATGGCAGAGGGGCATCTTGCTGTGGTTTCATTTTTTTCAAACAAAATGTTATTTGTGTTTTATGCAGTAGGTTTGTTTGCTAGTGTCTTTGCTTTAAAAAAAAAAAAAAAGCCCCTCCTGAGGCAGAAGAGTAAGAAGTAGGAAAATTCCTGGGCAAATGGAATGGGGAAACTGAGACAAGATAATTAAACCAGGCCAGTCAATATGAACAATTTACAGCCAGCTGGTGAATCGCAAGACCTTACTTCCTCTAACCAAGGACACTTGAGAGTGAGTGATTTATACCGCTCCTTCCAGACCAGAGAATACACAGCTTAAATCTCCCTGGTTGGGGACATAGACAACAGAGACCCAATTAGTGTCATTGGTGCCAGCTAAACCCAAGGACAGATGAAGTCAGGGAACAAATAACAAAAACCCAATTAGAGCCAGACAGACCCAAGATAAATGTAAAGCAGTGAAGCTGACCAGAGAATAATCCCAACACTAATTTTGATGCATCAGCATATTAAAAAACACACCTGGAAAGCTGATGAATATTTTGCTGAAGCCCTCCTTTAAGATTTTTGCCTGCAGAAGACAAAGACCCAATGCAAGCTCACTCTAGAACATGCCCATGCCCCTTTCTTGCACATGAACTTGTTACTTCCCCCTAAGGTTTCAGGGTCTCCAGGAAACCTGCAACCAGAAAAGCAGCGGGCAGTGGCAGCTTCACCCAGGCTAACCACCTTAAGCAGTCTCCAAGGCCAGTTTTTCAACTTCCCAGTGAGCTAACAGCAGCCTGCTCACTTCTTTCCTATTATGGCTTAGGGAGCCAAAGCAGAGCACCGTCCGGGCTCTCTCTCCTGCTGTTTCTTCTACCCAGAGTCTTTCCTTTGTTCCACTGCCCCTAGCTTTAGTCAATGTACTCTCAAAATCACCTGGATTCGTGTCGTGAAATCTCTTCTGTATAAAGTCAAGTATCTACCACTACAGGCCAGCCCGAGGGAGATCTGCTTGGCCTGGTCCCTTCCCATCAGTGATGGGGAAACCTGGTGCCCACATGACCCTTTTCCTGCATAACAGTCAACAGGAATTTAAAATTTTTTTCCAGCCCTGGCTGGGTGGCTCAACTGATTGGAGAATCGTCTGGTTCACCAAAAGGTTATGGGTTCATTCCTAGTCGGAGCATGTAGGAGTGGCAATTGATGGATGTTTCTCTCTCACACATTAATCTCTCTTGAAAAAGAAATCAGCCCTGACTGGTGTTGCTCAGTGGATCAAGCATTGAACTGCAAAGCAAAGGTCACTGGTTCAATTCCCAGCCAGGGAACATATCTAGGCTGTTGGCCAGGGTCCCAGGAAGGGGTACATGAGAGACAACCACATATTAATGTTTTTTTCCCTCTCTTTCTCTCTCCCTTCCCCTCTACCTAAAAATAAAATCTTTATCCTCAGGTGAAGATTTAAAAAAATTTTCCCATAGCCTCCTGATCTACAGAATCTGCCTCATCTGTAAGTTTTGAACTTTCCTCATGAGCTACACGGCCTCTGCCAGCACTAGCTGAGAGGAATTTTAACGCCTTTCTGACCCTGCGACATGTGACTATAAATTTGTCTGGTTTCTGGCTTCACAACAACACCGTGCATATGTTTTTGGGGTTTTTTTTTGTTTTTTTTTTTTAGATTTTATTTATTTATCTTTAGAGGGGAAGGGAAGGAGAGAGGGAGAGAAACATCAATGTATGGTTGCCTCTCATGCGTCCCCTGCTGGGAACTGGCCTGCAGGGAACCGGCCTGCAACCCAGGCATGTGCCCTGACTGGGAATCGAACTGCGATCCTCTGGTTCACAGGCCCGCGCTCAATCCACTGAGCTACACCAGCCAGGGCTTGTTTTTGGTTTTTAATAGGCTGTCATCATATGAAGCCACAAACTGAGCAGCTTTCCCACAGCTTCATCGCACAGAGCAGATTTCGCTGTGAGTGCTCTTGGGAGCAGTCTCAGATGCAGACTGGTGATGTCCACTTCCTCTACCCAGCAGTTTTAGTTAACAGTGAATGGTTCAATGAGCACTGCTGATTTATTAACACTGAACTCGCAGCTGGCAGCACTGTAACCCGTGCTCGAACAAGGCTGACCTAACTCACCTCCTTTCTCCACAAGGCACATTGCAGCCTTTCTGTGCATGGGGTCCATTTTAAACAGTGAAATCACCCACACACGGCATAAAATTGCAAAACACATGGCACTAAATAAGCCATGAAAAAGACACCTGTTTACAGTGGGCTAGCTGAAACCAGGGGGCGAGTGTCATGGAGTTCCGCCTACACTGGGAATGCACTTTGGGAGACTCACACTTCTCATGGCTCTGCACAAGCCCATAAATGACCTTCAGAAGGTCAAGAGAACTGATTCTGAAGCTACAAATAAATATTGGCAAGCAGGTGAGTTCACAAATATGGATTCTATGAATGGACAGCTTGAATTAGGCACATTGGGGAACTTTGCAGGCCACTAACTCTGCTATTTTTAGCAATGGTTAGTGTCACTAACTATTAACACTTTGTGTGTTAATTCTTTTGTTACAAAAGATAAACACATTAGATGAGATCATTTGATAAGACTTATTTGGACAAAAGCAGGCAATGTATAACTGATCTCTTTTAAAAACGTCTTTCTTTATTCAAAGTAAACAACAATTGTGTAAATGAGTCATATATTAGTGCCTCTTCAGTAACAAAGAGGCCACCTTTTCCATTATTTGATATCCTACCATCAACGAGACACGCTGAAATTGCTTTCTATCTGACAAAAGAGCACACGTTGTTCAAATCAGTTTATCTGTCACACGTCTTTTTATCCATCAGACCCAAAATGAGGACACACTGTCATATCTGATGAGTGGGGTCCACTGTGTGGTTCATGCACAGTGTATCTAACACTCTGAAATGGGTTTGCTCTATTTACAATCACCTCACAATGTTGACTCATGTTCAACAACCCTTTCTTTTACATTATCTATTTTCCAACTTTGTCTATGAGATTAATTATTCTGTCTTTCTTAACTGCCCCTCATCTAGGACATTACAGAACATTCAAAGAAAGACTCTTCATAAACATGCTTATATTACCGACTGCTACTGGTTTCTTTCCTATCCTGATGTGGATACCAGGGGTGATTTCACTTACTTTCCAGCTCACTGATGAGTTGATTATTATGTAACTTGACAGCTCGATGCTGTTCCACCTGATCTTCCAACTCAAATATGGTTTCCTTCATGTCTTTAATCTCTGCATCACTCTCAGATGCTTTCTCTTGCAGTTTCAGACTGGTTCTGCTCAGCTGTTCTGCTTGATGATCACATATCTCCTTCAAGTAAGAATAATCCTTTTCCATCTAGAATAAAAAGTAGGTTCCCTGGTCAATTTAACAGGAAAAAGTACCTCACACATTAGCATCAGGCTCATCAACCCACCAGCAAGGGAAGCGCTTGGCACAATTCACGCCGTCATCATTGCTATAGTCTTAGCCTTGGACATAGCCAAGTCTATACTCACAGAAATGTGATATGTGTCAAAGCACAAATGGGTGGATTCTGTGCCCCTTTCTACCAGCATAAAGAAAGCTGCACATACGTAAATATCCTTCTTCAGGCACCTGGGTAAAACTGCACTCACACTGGGAGGCTCAGGTGCCAGCTGTGGCTGCCAAACCTCACATCCACTATGGAGCAGTGCTGTCTGCTGGTCAGCCAGGAACAATGCCCCTCAGGAGCATGCCCTACAAACCCCAAATCTCTTTAACCATAAAGCATTTGTGGCTACAGTGAAGTTTTTTTAGAGGAATATAACATTAACATCAAAGGGAACACCAGTTGAAGGCATACGACACAGAAATGTGTATGCACCACACAAAGAGACACAGCGCAGCACACTCATTCATCGGACCCTTCAACTTTTAATCATTAAACACTTAAAATATACAGAAAAGCACCAAAAGAGACAAAATAACCACATACCCACACAGACTTAACAGTGGTTAAATTTTGCCACATTTGGTAATTTTTTTTACTTTAACAAGATTTGTTAAGACCGCAGCTTCCCTTCCACCCTAGAGAGTAACATGTTTTTATTTCCCTAAAACTGGTGTGTGGTCATCCCTTGAATGGTTTTTATACATAAAATTTTTACACATGTTGTTATACTATATTATGTTTTTGCAGTGTACTGTATTATATTGCATTATATTATATGGTAATGTGTTTTAGTCCTATATTATATTATGCTTATTATGCTTTAACTTCTTTTTCAGATGGACCCATATTAACATACGTTGTTCTAGGTCTTCACTGTAAATTCTGCATAGCATTCTATTGTCTGAATATACTAATTATCATGAACTTTCCCTTTTCTATAGTCTTTTAATTACTGTCACTATATAGTTTTATATTTATCAGGTAATGTAAGCTTGATACCTAGTAGATTTCTTCCTAAATTTGGAGGGATTTCTGTGGGGGCAGCTTTCCTCACAAGTCCCCCCATGTGCCATGGATGAGAGTAATCATGACTGAGACATGATGTGATCTGCTTGGGAAAGAGAGGTGGCCAGTTTCCCAGAAGAAAAGGCCTTGAGCAGTGGCCAGTTTCCCAGGGGAAAAAGGTGTTGAGCCCCTTCCTCCAAAGGCTTTTATTGGATTGTAATACACAGAAATACAGGGCGGCAAGGATCAAACAGTAGATAACATTTCAAAGAAATCTGAGGGCTTAGTCTGAGTCAGAGTCTGTCAGGAAGAGAGTTTTAGGGTTTCCCGCTCCAACCCTTAACATATGAATGAAAGCACTCTTTTTTAAAGATTTTATTTATTTATCTTTAGAGGGGAAGGAGAGAGGGAAAGAAACATCAATGTATGGTTGCCTCTAGTGCATCCCCTGCTGGGAATTTGCCTGCAGGGAACAGCCCTGCGACCCAGGCATGTGCCCTGACTGGGAATCGAACTGCAATCCTCTGGTTTGCAGGCCTGTGCTAAGTCCACTGAGCTATACCAGCCAGGTAAATGAAAGCACTCTTAGCAAAGCAGATTTCACAGGTTTATCAGGAATTCTTTGTGATGCCAGATTTTCCCCCAGGACAGACTCTTGCAAGGCAAGGAGCTGTACCTCTTCCCATCAGGTATTCAGGCTTAAGGGGATTAGAGCCAGGAAGCACTTCTCTCAGAGAACATGGGGACTTGGGCTTTGTCAAAACCGGTGAGGTGAGGGGGGGGGTCCATTGCTCTTTGTTGCAGCCCCCACCCCAGTCCTTCCATGCTGGCCTCCCAAGTGATGGAGTCTGGCTTAGGTTGCCCCCCCCCCCCGCTATGAGGAGTCTTACCCTCATTGACTTCCGACCAAGCTTTGGGGGCAGGGAGAGGGAACTGAGGCAGCGTTTGCTACCAGAGACAAGCTTCGTCTCCTGTGGCTTGCATTCCAGAGGTTGTAGCTTGCCCTTAGCCACAGGGGGTTGAGTTACAATTCCTAAAACCAGGCAGAGCGGTCCACAACAGGTTTCCATATACAGTATGTTTTTTCCAACTGTATTTCACATACTAAACCTTCCTAGGCTGAACCATCTATGGGGACAGGGACCCTGTATTCTCTCTGCACACTTATATCCCCAGAGCCTACAGTGTCAGACACATAAGAGGCCCTAATGAATGTCTATGAATGAATGGGCAGTGGAAGGCAGTACAGCACTGTCTTTCGATTGGGAGGCTGTGATACACGACACAGAAGGAAGAAGGGGAAAGAGGGAGGGAAGAAGGAGAGAGTGCCAGCATGGGGAAGATCGAGAGTACTGCTCAGACTCGGGGTGAGCTCTGCTCCCTGAAACTTGCGTTTCAGTCATAAAGATGTATGGCTCTGTACTGCAACATAAACTATGTCACTGTGGGCTGTTGCCCTAAGTTTCAAAGCGACTATAGTATATGAAAATGACTGAGGGTGGGGCCTGGAGCCAGACTGCCAGAATTTAAGTCCCAGTACTACCTGAGAGAGCTGAGGGACAGTGCCAGGGTCCCCGTGCTAGGTCCCTCTCCCACAAGGCCCATAGACACCATCTCTCCTGGGCTGAGTGCTCCCTTCCCTAGTCCCACTAGCCCCACCCTCCAACTCCCTGTCCTCTGAGCTCACACCCTGGGGAAGAGTGATCTGTCCAGCCTGTGGTGTGGACTTTCTTAGAGGGCTCTTGAGGACAAATTCTGTGGGTATCACAGACTAAGTTGTGTAGCTCTGGGGTGGGGGCCACTCCCCTCCCCCATCTCTGGCATTGCCCACGCCCACACAGGAGATCCACTAGCCCCACACTCCCATCTCCCAGTGGCCCCCCTTTGCTGTGCACTACACAGAAGTGAGCTGCTTGTGGCCAGCATGGGGGCCAGTGTGGCCCTTGTTGTGGCCTCTCCTGGGAGGCTCTCCAGGAGGGAGAGAGCTGTGCAGCTCCAGGCCAGGAGCCACTCTTCCCTCACATACCTGACCAGCACGGCCATGCTGGTCCTGTGCAAAGAGAGCCCTCCCTTCATCCATCCCAATCTCGGTCTGCTCGGGCCTGATGAACCTGCTGACCTCACCCTGACCACTCCCGGAGACCCTGCCCACCACAAAGGTCCACAGGCACCTGTGGTGCAGGCCGACCTTGCTGTGCCCTGAGAGTTTCGCTGAGTGGCCCCAGTGCCAGCACTGGCACTGAGTGTGAATCTGTTTCAGTCTGGTGAACAACACTCATCCCTACCTGGTGACTCACTGAGAACCTACCTCATGCAACCCACACACCACCAGAGGCCCTTTCAGTGATGAACCTAACAGGCAGCCACCAGGCAGAAGCAGATGTTGGGGAGTCTTGGACCTTTTGCTGACCTGCTCCTGGGGACTGGTGCTGGTGAAAGCCAACCTCGGTGTCAATTTCCTCCCATGCAGACCCAGGCCCAGCAGAGGCAGCCACAAACTGTGGATTGCTTTGTGGCTCCAAACAGGTAGCCCAGGGCCAGTCACAGGCACTGCCTAACATGACCTGCACTGGATCCCTCCTAAGAGGCCCCAGAGTCAACACACCTGCTGGAAGGATTCAGACCACATCAGAACAGGACCCAATTTGCTCCACAAGGGGCACACCCAAAGGCGGATCTCATCAGACACAGACCCTGCTGGGGTGAATTCTACTTCACAGGGTCAGCCCAGCACAGCATCTTGTGGTTCTCTGTGGTTGGGTCAGTCCTCACAGTTGGCCAGCCCAGTGTCAACCCCACCCACGGATAAGCCAACAGCAATCAAGACTCAACTACCATAGCAGCGTTCACAGAACCCCTACAAGGGACATTCGTGGAGCACCCAGCTTAGGTGATCAGGTGCCACTGAGCCCCACAGGACACCTACCACATAAGACCTCATGCCAAGACCAGGAGGCGTAGCAGCTCTGCCTAACACAGAAACAACTAGAGAGAGGCAGCCAGAACGAGGAGACAAAGAAACAGGCCCCAAATGAAAGAAACAGAGGACTCCCCAGAAAAAAAACGAATGAAATGGAGACAAGCAAGATATGGAGTTCAAAATCATGGTTGTAAGGATGCTCAAGGAACATAGAGGAAGGATAGGTGAGCTCAGCAACAATGTAAAGAAATACTAAACATAAAAATCCCCATAAAAACCATAAAAAATAACTAGGCAGAAGTAAGGAATACAATATCTGAAATAATAATACACTAGAAGGAATCAACAGCAGGTTAGATGAAGCGGAGGTCTGAATCAATACTTTGGAAGACAAGGTAGCAGAAAACACCCGATTGAAAGAGAAAAAAAAAACATTTTAAATGAGGATAGTTCAAGAGACCTCCTCCTATACGACATCTGCACCACAGGGGTACCACAAGAAAAGAGAGAGCAAGAAATTCAAAACTTATTTGAAGAAATGCCTGAAAACTTCCTTAACCTGGTGAAGAAAAAAGACACACAAGTATGGGAACTGCAGAAAATCCCAAACGGTGCAAATCCAAAGAAGCCCACACCAAGACACATCATAATTACAATGGCAAAGGTTAATAAGAGAGATTCTTTTTTTATAAATCTTCACCTGAGGCTATTATTTTCATTGCCTTTACAGAGAGAGGAAGAGAAAGAGAGAAGAACATGGATGTCAGAGAGAAACACCCACTGGCTGACTCCCAAATGTGCCGAGACTGGGAATCATATGAGCCCAGCCCAGGTATCAAACACACAAGTCATGCATGTGGGAATGAACCTGCAACTTTCTGGTTATGGGACGATGCTCCCAACAACTGAGCCACACCAGACAGGGTGGGGAGAAGAAAAGAGATTCTTAAAAGCAGCAAGAGAAAGGCAGTTATATACACGGAAGCTCCCATAAGA